TTAGAGTTCTATATGCCTTTATAATTTGTGCTTTAATTCTGCCACAGATTTAAATATTTAAATTGTTCTAACATCCTCATTCAAATATTGTGCCATAAATTGCATGCCTGTAGTCCCACCTACGCTGGAGGCTAAGGCAGGATAATTGCTTGAGCTGGGGAGTTCAAGAACACTGTGAACTGCATTTCAACCTGGGCAGCAAAGCGAGACCCTGCCTCAAAAAAAAGTATTGTGCCATAATGTATATGATTTTCTATGAACATGTAGTATTTATTTCAATTCCTTTTGTTTTCTCATTGCCCTATGACACTTAAAAGTAATATATTACTCCACCATCACATTATGTTGTTTTCATGATGTCAAATCAGGATGCCTTTTGTTTGAAAATTATTAGTGCAAAAGAGAAGTGTTTCATTTATATGTGCTGAGACGAATACAGTATGAACAAGTTGCTTAACAAATTGGAAGCTGAGTGATGTCACTTGAGATGCTTATGGGCCCTAATGTGAGGCATAGGGGTTTTGAAATTACATGGCATTATGTGGATATATGATTATTTAGATGATTAATAATGTGCTCCTATTAACTATTTTTTATTATCAAAATGAAAAATGTTAAAAACATTATGACATAGAATTACAGACCCTCTAAGAATTTATTTGTGGAGTCTAGTCTGAGTAACAATTGTACTGGAGTATGGTGCAGAGTAAATAAAGGATTATACTCTAAGGTGTCAAAAACCAGGGAGGAATGTATTAGTTTGTGTGTATTAATTAGTAATTGACTTCAGCTATATGTAACAAACAATTCCCCAGCACCATAAGACAGTGAAACAAACAAAAAAAACCCAAAAATAAGAGAAAACTCCAACAACAGTGGCTTTTATGAATAATAAGGAGTCCTGAAGCAGGCAGCTCAGAGCTGATGTCGTGGCTCAATGATGTCATCAGGGACCCACGCTCTTTCTTGTTATCTGCCATTCTTAAGTTCTTCTTTATGCTCCTAGGAGGCCTCTGTAGCTCCAGCCATCCTGTCTTTTTCCCGTTGGAAAGAAAAGGAAAGAGCTAAAGGGAAAAGGCAAAAACCAGACAAATCTGTGTTTTAAGGGCTTTCCCAGAACCCCACTCAATGACTTCCATTTAGGAGCTGATCATAATCCAGAAAGAAACAACCATGAGCACCGTAATCCCGAATAAAAATCCCTAAAGTCTAAAATCCTGAAAATCAATCCTGAAAGATCAAAATATAATTATGGAAAAAATTTAAAAGGTATTTATTTTACATTTTTTAAAAGGGACTTATTTGAGAAACAAAAGCAGAACACTTCATAGGTCACTTTATAAAATAAAATAGGCAATATTATACAAATTTTTGCCAACAAACACTCAGGTATATTAATGACAGTTGCATGGGTATAACAGTTATGAGCAGATGAACCATAGTCATGAAGAAATAGCTTATAAGTGAGGTCATCTGATATACTGTGACAGACAACCTAAGTCTTTTGATGAGATTCATCAAAACCATGATGGGTCACCACTGCATATGCAGATGCCCAAAGAGCTAAGATCTTGAGAAAGTTTATTTTTCACAAATGTAGATGTACAAAAAGGACATCTCTTCATTTATTAAGAAAGTTTCAATGCTTTTATATATACACACGGCGCTTACACACAAAGTCAACATTGTGGTAATACACCTTTTTGGAGTCAAATTTCCAAAAAGGACGTAAAGTAAATTAGAACTGTGTAAGTCTTCATAATGTTGATACCTCCAGTTTTGTAAATGATAAGATGAAATACATAGCATAGCACATTATAAAAGAAATAGTGTTTGGCCCAGCATGGTGGCTCAAGCCTGAAATCCCAGCACTTTGGGAGGCTCAAGTAGATCACTTAAGCTCAGGAGTTCAAGAGCAGCCTGGGCAACATGGCAAAACCCCATCTCTACAAAAAAAAAAAATTTAATACAAAAAGTAGCCTGGCATGGTGCATACCTATGGTCCCAGCTACTTGGGAGGCTGAGGTAGGAGGGTTACCAAAACCCCAGGGGGGCAGAGGTTGCAGTGAGCTGTGATCTCACCATTGCACTCCAGCCTGGGCAACAGAGCAAGACCCTGTCTCCAAAAAAAAAAAAAAAAAAAAAAAAATAGGGCTGCCAATTTAAGAGTAGGAAAACTAAAAAAAAAAAAAAAAAAGTGTGTTGCAAGGATATATTATGGCAGTTGCGTGGAGGTAGTCTGTAAGAGCTGGGTGACTTTCATGATCATTAACTATATTTTGAAGTCTTCTATGTTGATGAATAGCTTCTTTTTTTCTTTTAGGACAGGGCTGTCCATGGAGAATATGTTCCCGTTCCTTCTATATGTGTTACTGTTCTTTTTGGAATTCTTCTGTGATTCGGTATACAACATGAGCATTGCCTATTAAATTTCCCCATGCTTCTGAGTTGTGGGTAGATGGAAATCCATTCTGCATGTTCTCATACACAGACCACAAATTTGGCAGAAGCAGTACTAGTGATGGAACAGCAACACCATTACATTAAATGTCTTCTTATCCTACTGTGCACATAATTATTTTTAAACTAGTCATTACTTTGCTGGCTTCTTCAGGCAAGGTGGCTTTAATTCATTAAAAGCTTCTGGAATGTCATCTGCTGAAAAGAATACCAGTGTAGGCAAATGACCCCTTTAACTGAAGTTTGTATCGTTGTAGCCAATCCACTCTTCTGAATTTCCTGCCAAATGCATTAGGCTGAATAAGAAATACAAACTTCATTGGTAACACTTTGAACTTCACTTTTTAAAAAAATGTGGGTTTTTTTTTGAGACGAGTTTCATTCTTGTTGTCCAGGCTGGAGTGCAATGGCATGATCTGGCTCACTGCAACCCCCACCCGAGTTCAAATGATTTTCCCGCGTCAGCCTCCCGAGGAGCTGGGATCACAGGCAGGTGCCTCCGTACCTGGCTAATTTTTTTCCGTTTTTAGTAGAGATAGAGTTTCACCATGTTGGCCTGGCTGGTCTTGAATTCCTGACCTCAAGTGATCTGCCCACGTCAGCCTCCCAAAGTTTGGGATTACAGGCGTGAGCCACTGCACCCGGCCCAAATAAACATTTATTAAGTGCTTCACTTTTTCTAGCCATTAATACATAATTGAGTGGATAAGTTCTAGAATTTTCACATCTAACAGTGACATGAATTATATGTAGTTGATAAACAGTGGGAATGATTTTGAAATTCATTAGCTAAAGTGAAGCATGTGCTAGTTCTTCTATATTAGATTTAGTGGTAAATATAAGAAATCTGTCTTCTTTGACAGTCAAATCACTAATCATGAATAGTTCACCATTTATTATTATTTTTTTAAACACTGAAGAAACCTCAGTATCAACAAGTGTATTTGGTTTAGAAGATCACTGAGCTTATTGAATTCTTTTTATTCTCTGCTGAAGGGTGTTTTTTGAATGGAAGCATAGTGCTGTATGTGAAGGGGCAGAAGTCGTACACAATTGAATAATTTGGCAGGGGAGATTTCTTGTACTTTTTGCCTGTGTTTTCACTTCTGTGATCTTTGAAACACTTGCTGCACTTGTGTTTGGAAAGTGGTTGTAGTCTACAAATTTTATAAGTGTATGCTATCCATGTGAAAGTCTGCCTATTGCTTAGCTGCTGCAATTAAGCGATTTTCTGCTTGGGTAGCACCAGTAATAATTAGCCTTTAAAGTTTTATATTTCACCATTTAGTAACCTTATATAATTAACTTATCACAGCTCTTCTGTAAGAGAACATTTCAGTCTCTTCTATTGTGTTGTAAGGAATACAGTAAGAAGGAATGACACTTGGCTTTGTCTGTACCAAATCTGTATTAGTCAAGATTCTCCAGAGAGACAGAAGTAATAGGATATGCATATGAACATGAGAGGGGATTTATTAGGGGAATTGGCTCATGTGATTATGGGGCTGAGAAGTCTTACAGCAGGCTGTCTGCTAGCTGGAGACCCTGGGTTGCTGGTGTAGTGGTTCAATCCAAATCCAAAGGCCTCAGAACCAGGGAAGGCGATGATGTGACTCTCAGTCTGAGGCTGAAAGGCCAGGACGTTGGAACTGCTGGCATAAGTCCCAGAGTCCGAAGGCTGGAGGCCTCCAGTTCTGATGTCCAAGGCAGCGAAAGAGAAGCCTGTGCTAGCTCTCGGATAGAGAACAATTCACCTTCTGTATTTATTCTCTCTGGGGCCCCAGCTGATTGGATGGTGCCGCCAACATTCAGGCAAGATCTTCATGTAATCCACTGAGACTCACACACTAATCTCTCCTGGAAACACCCTTACAGACATTCCCCCAAATAGTGCTTTACTAGGTTTCTAAGTCTTAATCCAGTCAAATTGATGCCTGAATTTAAATCTACCCCATGTCAGTCTGTCACTCATATGCATCTCCTTAAACCATATTTAATTTCCAAATAAACTATCCTATGATTGTGATTTTTGGGATTGTAGACATTAGGGATTTTGATCTTTCGAGATTTCAACGTTTGGGACTGTGGCATTTGGGATTTTGTCTTTTAGGATTATGATCCAAACCCCTTCCATTTACATGTCCTTGGCCATGCTTGTGTCATAGGTCCGCCCTTGCTCCAGGGGAAGTTGGGAAAGTATTTTCATGAGCACATTGCTGCCTCAACAAATTGGGACTCTCTGTGAGGACTAAGAGAATGGACACTGGGTAGGCAAAATAGCAGTCTCTGCCACACCAATTAAATATTACTAGTGATGTTAAGTTTAAAACAGGCTGGGTGCAGCAGCTCATGCCTGTAAACCCTGAGCTTTGGGAGGCTGAGACAGAAGGAGAATTGCCTGAGCCCAGTTTAAGAACAGCTTGAGCAACATAGGGAGACCCCTGTCTCTATAAAAAAAATAAAAATAAAAGTCAGAACAAACAGACACATAAACCAGTCTTTGTCTTTTTTTTTTTTTTTTTTTGCATATCTACTTTAACCAAAGTTATATGAAAGGAATATAAATGAAATAAGTCTAAATTTCTGGAGTATGAAGGAAATGTAAGATCATGTAGTCCTGGCATTTTAGGCTTAGAGATAACCACAGGCAGCGCGGTTCCAGGCTTGGGATTTGGCATTCCTGACTCACACACCAGTCACTGTTCTTTCCGTTCACTTTGCTGCTTCATGAACTCTGGTTGCTTGTCTGTCACTCTTCTGCATATACAAGGCGGCTGGGTTTTGGTTACACTAGGGGAGAAAACCCTCTAATCCCTTGAATGGTTACAATAAAAGAGATGCGAGGAAATTTTCTGTTTCCTACTTGGGAGTCTTACACATTCACTTTGTAAGTATTGATGGTGCTGGCAGTTTATAAACATTCATTCATTCTTCATTTATTCGGCAATGACTGCATACTAAACAATAGGTTCTAATGTCTCAAGAACAGGAGCATGCCTTATGAATTTCCATATCCCCAAGTAGGTCCTCGCTGATGAGTGAATAATTAAGTCATAGTTTCTGCCTTCAGGAAATCCTTAGTCAAGTTGGAGAGACAGACAGGCAAGTCAATGATAATAGTATACCAAAGGCATATCTCTTGAGAGGTTACAGGCATGGGTGAAAGGAAGCTAAATAAATCTCTTAAGCAGAAAGAGGGTCTGGAAAGATGCCAGTAGGAGGTGGCCCCAGGTTCAGTTTTGAAGGGGCTGGCCAGGTGAGGAAAGAGAAGGGCAGCATATCAAGTGAAAGAATGAGTCTCTCACCAGTAGGGAGTTTAGAGAAGAGGGGACCACAAGAAGTATGGGAAGAGGCCATGGTCGTAGGAAATGAGGCTTGAGAGGTGGCTGTGGCCACATCAACAGAGATCTTAATAGTACGTTAAAGGATTTGAACTTACCTAACCTCCCTGACCGGGAGCCATGGAGTCAGGCCAGGGAATGGAGGCTCAGGTGTCATTGTGGTTAGACTGTGGTGCCTGAGTGCAGAGCACCAGCGAGGCATGTCTTGTCACCCACAGCTGCAGATAGCCAGGGCCGACTAAACCACACATAAAGATTCCTGTGCCTCCCTGCCCAGTGCTCCCAGGAGCCCCCTCTTGGCAGAGCCTTACTAACCTTTCCAGCCCCTTGCAGACTCCACATGTCCCCTTTCACTTTCTTACCCATCGTGTTGTCCTCCCTCGTCAGTGACTAACAAAGACTTCTTTTTGTCTCCTGCCTAATATGGAATGATTTGCTTTTATTTGGTAGTTGTTTATCCTTGGCTTTAAGAGACCCTCAGGTGGTAGAAAACACCAGACCTACTTTGTAATCTCTGATGATAAATGACAGGCAGTATTTCAGGACTTGTAGATAGCCAGGAGACAGGAAGCCTGCTCCTGAGAGTGGTTAGAGCAGGGCCTCCTGCTTCCCTGTGCTGGCTGCTTTGGTCTACAGACTGCCCCATCCAGCAGGTCTCCTCCCAGTCTACTGTCCCTTCTCTGCTGAAGACTTCCCCGCTTTTCAAATCGAGTCCCTCATTCCCTCCTTGGACTCCCAGTTGCATTGTCTTCTGGTGCCCAGCCAGGACGGGCTTCCTTTCTCTGATGTACATCCCAGGATGGATCCAAACCTCCTTTGTTGGCTCTGCTTCTAGTATTGAAGTTTCTGATGACAAAGGGTGACATTGGAGCTGCATGCTCTTAGTTAATGCAAGTAATAGACACAATGTTATTATTGAGGGGCCATCTGAACCTCTCTTGTCAGTGACTTTGGAAATAAAATGTACCATGGAAAAGCTCTTTTTATTGCTCGTTTCTCTTTTTCTTTCTCTCTTTTTTTCCTTAGGCAGGAATTATTATAACAATAAAGGAAACTCACAAAATTTTTCTCCAAATCCCACAACCATAAGTCATGAGCTGTTTTTACTTTTCCTGGTATTCTCTTCCAGTCCCTCCTCATCTACAGTGACATTGACTAGATTCAGTTTTGAGGTGCATTTCTTTTTTATGCCAAATGACCATATTTGGGACAGACTGAAGTAATTGAGCCATAGGAGTATCTCAGGTAATAATGGCTTCTTCTTTTGATTATTTCCCTTTAGGAGAGACACTGCTGATCCTGTAACATGGAGGATTGTCTTCATACCTCATCTGAGAATCTGTCCAAATTGGTCAGCTGGGCCCACAGCCATGGGACTATTTGCAGCCTCATTCCAAACCTGAAACACTTGCTCTCTGAAGGTTCCCATGGGAACCTGACAGCAATGTGGGGCTGTAGTGCTGGCCATGCTTATCACTGGCCACTAACGGCTACTTGCAGAGCTGGGTCCCAAGAGAGGGTCTGTTTCCAGGATAACAGAAGTTTTAACTCTGATAGTCCCAGCATAATTGGGGTGCCCTCTGAGACACAGACTAGCCCTGTTGAAAGGTACCCTGGGCGGCCAGTGAAAGCAAAGCTAGACTGTAACCGGACCAGAGACTCTTGTGACTTCTCCTATTGTAGTGAGCCCTCTGAACTGGATGAAGCTGTTGAAGAATATGAAGATGAGAACACCCTGTTTGACATGGTTTGTGAGTCTTCTGTTACAGATGAGGATAGTGACTTTGAACCCCAGACCCAAAGGCCTCAAAGCATTGCTCGCAAAAGACCTGGGATAGTCCCATCTTCCCTCCATTCAAGCTCCCAGGCGCAGATGATTGACGAATGCAGCAATGATGTCATCATTAAGAAAATCAAACAAGAGATCCCCGAAGATTATTACATTGTGGCAAATGCAGAACTGACAGGAGGGGTAGATGGACCAGCCCTGTCCTTGACACAGATGGCAAAACCCAAGCCTCAGACTCATGCCGGTCCCTCCTGTGTAGGGTCTGCTAAACTGATTCCCCACATAACATCTGCCATCAGCACGGAGCTAGACCCACACGGTATGTCTGCATCCCCCTCTGTGATCTCCAGACCAATTGTCCAGAAGACTGCTAGGGTATCTCTGGCTTCGCCAAACAGAGGACCCCCTGGTAGCCATGGTGCCAACCAACAGGTGGCCATGCAAATGCCTGTGAGCACATCCCATCCTAACAAACAGATCAGTATCCCCTTGTCTGCCCTGCAGCTGCCTGGACAGGATGAGCAAGTTGCTTCTGAAGAGTTCCTGTCCCATCTGCCCAGCCAGGTCTCCTCCTGTGAGGTAGCCCTTTCTCCCTCAGTTAACACAGAGCCAGAAGTGAGCTCCAGTCAGCAGCAGCCCCCAGTCGCTCCAGCCATAACCACTGAGGCCACAGCACAGTGCATACCAGGTATGGCATGTGAGGCGACAGCAAGTCCCTCATCCACACACACCAGAATTCTGCGCCGTCAGCACTTCTAAAACCATTGGCTCAGTTTGCTAGAAGTCAGTCCTTTGTTAGTCATAGAAAGGTAGAAATAATGACTGTGTTATATCCAGGTGATACTATAAAGGAAATTCATAAGAATTAAGGCCCTATCCAGTTGATGATGTACCTTAGGGCTGAGAGGACAGCTGCAAGATTGTTCTGTTGATATTGTAGCATTAGATTTAAGTTTGATACCTGTCAGCTGAATTTGTACATAGTTAAGTTATTTTTGAAAGTTTTAAAAATGTGCTTTTCTATCAGTAGCAGTGTGTTTAGTTGCTGTTCGAAGCTATGATGATGTTAAGAAGGGATATAGTGACAATAGACTGATGCTTTTCCATTATTATTTATTTGACTGAACCAGCTTGACATTGCTATTCATTTTAGTTGGTGTGGTAGTTTAAAATAAGTTTTTTTAAAAAAGCAATAGACATTTCTAAAAGAGGTATTTTATCCTTTCCCTTAAAATTTAAAAGAATAAGAAAACTTGCATTTCTGGAATTTGTGAGCCTAACTGGACTGGATTGAGAGGGGAGTGAAATAATTGTTTGAGGCCCCTGCACCTGTAATTGTAATGTTCTAATGTTTTTTAATTCTGAGATTTAGTATTTATTTAATCTGGGCCATTAGTATATAAAGGGGGCTTGGGTCTCATGCTTTTGGCTTCATGATTCAAATCTAGTAGGTTAGAATAGAAATGTGGACAAGGATGAAGAAACATGCAGAAATCTGCGGCGTGTTTTAGTTTATTTCAGTCCTTCTCAAAAACATCTTGTATTTTAGAAAAAGCTTCCTAGAAGCCTGAGGCACCTGTGCCTTTATCCTGAAACTTCCTTGGATTAAGCTGTTTAACAAACTTTTTTCCCCATTTTAGTATCAACTTTGAGATTCTCAAAGAAGACCTTCCTTTTGATTTTTTTGAAGACATATTCATGGTGTTATTAAGAAGATATTCACTGAAAATATTTACATCCTGATTGAAAATTACACTTTTCAGTTTATTCATTTTTCTCTTTTTTAAATAATAGTTTTATTGAGATACTATTCACATATCATAAAATTCACTCTTTTACAGTGTACAGTTCAGTGGGTTTTGGTGTATTCACAGAGTTGTACAACCATCACCATTACCTAATTTCAGAATATTTTCATCATCACAGAAAGAAACCCCATACGCATTAACAGCCACTTTTTCCCTCCCCCTAGTTCCTGGCAACCACTAATCTACTTTCTGTCTATAGATTTTCCTATGCTATATGTTTCATATAAGTGGAATCACATATTATATGGCCTTTTGTGACCACCCTTTACACTTAACAAAGTTTTCAAGGTTAATCCATGTTGTAGCATTTCTTTCGATAATGTATGACTATGCCATATTTTATTTTTTCTTTCATCAGTTAATGGACATTTGGGTTGTGTTCATATTTTGGCTGTTATGAATAATGCTGCTGTGAATATTTGTGAACAGGTTTTTGTGTGGGTGTGTGTATTTATTTGGCTTGGGTAACTACCTAGGAGTGGAATTGCTGGGTCCTGTGGTATCTTCATATTTAACTTTTTGAGGAGCTGCCAAACTGTTTTCCCAAGCAGCTCCATCACTGGACAGCCTCACTAGTAACCTATAAAGGTTCTTATTGCTCCACATTGTCACAAACACTTGTTATTTTTCATATTTTAAAAAATAAATATCCTATTGGGTGTGTGAAGTAGTATCTTACTGGGGTTTTGATATGTATTACCCTAATGCCTCATGGTACTGAGCTTTCTTTCATGTGCTTCTTGGCCATTTGTATATTTTCTTTTGAGAAACATCTACTCAGATCTTTTGCCCATTTTAAAATTAGGTTGTCGTCTTATTGGTGAGTTGTTGGAGTTCTTTATGTATTCTGAATATGAGATCCTTATCAGGTATATAATTTGCAAATATTTTCTCCTATCCCATGGGTTGTCTTTTTCTTTCTTTCTTTTAAAAAATATTTTAATGAATTGTACTTTGATCATTGAATGACAACATGGTCCTTGGCTAATCTCATCAGGAGACAAAATGTTATCTTTATTAGGCTGGTGAAAGTCTTTGTTCTAGGAAATCTGACTCAGTATATGTAGGATGTAAGTAGTACCTTTTCACTTAAATTGTTGTGAACCTAATTCTACTTTATTTGTTTGTTTGACTTCCCCTGCCTTTTTTTTTTTTCTTAAATAGGGTAGAATTCAGAATGTATTTTGCTAAGTGGTCCAGTGTACCCAGTTTGGTGAAGAGTATTAGTTGTGTTGCACACCCTTACGCTAACTTAGCCCTGCAAAGCAAGAAGTTTCTGTATCTGCCTCGTGGATAGTAAATGAGGCACTGAGGCTCTTTACTAAACCATATATGAATATATTAGTGTTTAATTATTTTGGGAAAGAAATTCAGCCTGTTTTTAAAAAATAATTTTAATCCATTTATTATTGCATATATTACGTTCTCTTAGGTTTTTTTTCTTCCCTCATGGAAACTGCACCTCTTACAATAGCTATAAAAAGCAGGCATGGTCAAGGAGAGTACATAATATATACAGTCATACATTGTGATTTGACTTTACTCTCAGAGGAGCATTAGTTTGGGTGGGAGGTGAACCTTTAAGAAAAACAGTATGAAGACTGGTCATGACGATTTTCTAAGGATAGTCCTCATGTTTTGATCCATTGTTCCCAGGAAGGATATCATATTGCTAAGATGTCTTTAGCTTTAGAGAAATACTATTTGGACTGGAAACAACAGTGGGACAAATAAAAGTCAGACTCACATTTTTCTTTTGAGTGAAGCATATAAAGTTAACATTACATTTACCTTTTACTCTAGTACCTAATTAGGTTATATGTTCTAAAATTTTGTTTGAGTTTGCATGTTTGTTTATAGTAGATAATCTTTCTAAACATACATTTAAAAAAATTTAGAATGCAGCACATCTAAATGTATGTGAATGACTTTGTTACAGGTGGACCTTACACAGTTAATATGTAAAGTATACTTGGTACTAAGCAAAGAAGAAAGGTTCTGAAAGACCTAGCTGAAAGCTAAGTCAGGCTCTTTTAAAATAGTTGTTCTGTACTGAGTATCAGATCATTGCAGAAATACTGTATATCTTTAGATAATACTTTTAAAATAAATAATTTGACACATGACTATTGAGTTAGCCAGAAACAAAGAGAAATTGTTCCATTTTGTTTGGTTTTACTGTTGCCATTTAAATTTGATTTCCCTAGCGGAAAATCATCCTTACTTCTGTTCAGAACTGAACTCATAAAATTATAAAATGTGTTAATCAAGGTATAGATAAAATCATTAATTTTCATGTCACTTCTGCCATACTGTTCAATCCAAATCTTAGTAAACAATGAGTAAAGAGGCATCTATTATTAGAATTATTGACTACCTACTAGTAGCTTGGATTCCATTTAATTTTTGAGGTTTTATGTAAATTTGGGGCATTTGTCATAATGACATTTAAATCTCTATTGCATCATGAGTTAGGGTTTTATGTGTATATTATATTTCTTCAGTATACTCACACATAGCTTCTTTTATGATTTTGTGCAAGTATCCCTTTTATTAATCAGCTCTTTTCCCAAAAGTTCTATAGTAACAGGCAATCAATTTTTGCTTATCAGATTTGTATGTATATATATTTTTCTTTTGAAAAAAAATATGTATTTGTGTTTTTCTAATAGATTCATGTATTCTGTATATATTAGAAATAGTAACTCATAATCTGTCATGTATATTGGAAATACATTTCCCACTTTACCATTAGCTTTTAATTTTGTTGCTGACATTTTTTGAGGTCTGAATTTTCTTAATTTTTATGAAGGCAATTCTTTCAACATCTGTCAATCAGTCTTTTCCTTTTCTGTCTTTGGTATTTTGCTTAGGAAGTCCTTTCCTGACATATTTCTCTGTATTTCCCTCTTGCTCTGTTTTTTTTTTTTTTTTTTTTTTTTTAAATGGAGTCTTGCTCTGTACCCCAGGCCGGAGTGCAGTGGTGCGATCTCGGCTCACTGCAACCTCCGCCTCCTGGTTTCAAGTAATTTTTCTGCCTCAGTCTCCCTAGTAGCTGGGACTATAGGCATGTACTACCATGCCTGGCTAATTTTTTTTTTTTTTGTATTTTTAGTAGAGATGGGGTTTCACCATATTGGCCAGGCTGGCATCAAACTCCTGACCTTGTGATCTGCATGCCTCGGCCTCCTAAAGTGCTGGGATTAGAGGCGTGAACCACTGTGCCCAGCCCCCTCTTGTTCTTTTATGGTTTTCTTTCTCTCTCCTCTTCTTCTCTTCCTTTCTTTTTTTAACATTTGACTTTACAATTAGAATATATTTTGGGGTAGAACCTCATGCTACTATTTTTGCAGGTAGTCAAACGTCTCAGCATCATTTGTTGAATAATTTCCATTCTCCACTGAATTGATTCATATACCACATTTTTGTTTATTATTGGGTCTCTTTCTTGTTTTTGTTTCTGTTTTCATTGATCTCTTTTTTTTTTCTTCTCATTTTTACTGTTTATTTATTTGTATAAATTTATGGTGATTATATTTTATACAAAAATGCATTCAGAAAGAGAAATCGAGTCTAAATCATTTAATATGCTTTTTGAAAAATTACTCATGTAATACTGAGTTCAGTGAGCTTTTAAAAATTAATTAAGGTTATATCACTGCTAGTTATCTGGTCTATGTTGACGCGATAGATAATGGTTTCTCTTGTCAGAAGCAAAAAATCTGAGTTAAAATAAGTTAAAGGAGAGAATTAACTGCCTTATAGTCCAAAGACACATTTTCAAACCAGCTTTCACCCAGGCTTCAGACAGCATCAAGTTTCCCTCTTGCCATTTGCCACCTTGGCTTTCCTCCCTATTAGGTTCACCGATTATACTTGA